CTCTTTTTTATCATGTAATTATAAAATAAATCAATTGAAATATAAATATTGTACTTAGGTTTCAGTGTATAATACACAGAGCAGTATAAACAAGCCATTGTCTGTATGACATTTTAGGCCTCAACTACACTCCTGCAGGCCATTAACCTAAGTTATGTCACTTCAGCTACGTGAATAACATAACTGAAGTTGATGTGCTTTGGTCCGATTGCAGTAAATAGCTGACGCTCTCCTGTTGACTCCGCTCACTCTTCTCATTTTGGTGGAGTACTGGAGTCAACGGAGGAGCACTCGGCAGTTGATTTATCATCTCTATACTACATGCAACAAATCAACCTTGCTGGATCAATCTCTGCCCGTCGATCCAGCCTGTAGTGAAGACATGCCTTTAGTTCGTTCTAACTTCACTAATGCTTTTTCTGTGGCCCGTTCTAAATCTAGGCAAATATCTAGATGAGTTGAGGTACCCCTTAGAAGACCTCTGCACACCCCAAGGAATAGTGTACCCCTGGATGAGATCAATTGGACACAACTGCTGCTGAGAGCCAGTGGCTGCGTCTAGACTGGCAAGTTTTTCCGCAAAAGTGGCGGCTTTTGCACAAAAACTTGCAGCTGTCTACGCTGGCCGCTTGATTTTGCGCAAACGCACTGACGTTCTACTGTCTGAAATCAGTGCTTCTTGCGCAAATTCTTTGACGTTCCTGTTCGGGCAAAAGCCCTTTTCTGGAAATGCTTTTGCACAAGAGGGCCAGTGTAGACAGCTAAAAACTGATTTGCGCAAAAAAGCCCTGATGGCAAAAATGGCGATCGGGGCTTTCTTGCGCAAAACCACGTCTAGATTGGCACGGAGGCTTTTCCGCAAAAAGTGCTTTTTCCATTAAAAGCATTTGCGGAAAATCGTGCCAGTCTAGACGTAGCCACTATCTAGGGCAAGAACTGGAATTCTCAGCCAGTGGCAGGCTCACTATAATAAATGCAGCATCACCTGATAGGCTGCTACCACAATGCTCTCTCCCATAAGAATTGCTGTACATGCAATGGGATATCTACAATGTGCACTCCCACAAGGAAAATGTGTAAGTTCTTTTTGCACCTAGTGCCGTGGTTCTCAAAGTGTGTTCTACAGACCACTAGTGGTCCATGACAGTCTTGCAGGTGGGCCACAGCCTTGAGGCTCACCCCCCCGCCATAAAGGGGAGCCTGTGCTCTAAGGTTAGAGCTTGCCAGTATGGGGGGAGGAGGAACACCCTTGCAGGCCAGATCCAACTTGCGGGGGGAAGGGGCTACTGCTCCCTCTCTCCCTGGCTGAAGGAACGGCAGCACAAGAAACCACTTGCCTGGTGGTGTTCCCCGCTGCTGCTATTGGCCAATAGGAGCACTGGGAGGCAGGGAGCCAGGTTAGTGCCCCCATCCCTCTAATGCTCAGACCTTGCACCCTCACCCTGCACCCTTCTTCTCACCCAGAACCCCCACTCTCAGCCTGCTCCTACACCCTACCTCCCAGCTGTAGTTAGGCAGGGTCCTCCCGATGAATTCCTGACAGGTCTCTGGCTCCGTTGACGATGATAACCAAAAGGCTGCTTGCCTGTGTGCTCAATGGTGTGTGCTGTATCCACTTATTCAGCAGACCCCCAGAGAGCCTCCTAAAGACCACAAATCAGATAAGGATCAAAGGTGCCCAGCCAGCTTTATTGTTAAGCAAAGTCAGAGTTGCCAGTATATTCTACTGAACCACCACACATGTGTAATTCGTAACAATGGAATAACTCAACCAGTGGGTGGTCCCACTTGCCCCTATGCTGTTTTAAAGAGGTAAAATATTGTTTTGTACAGTCACTCCATGTAGTTAAAGTATTTGCAAAGGCTAATCTGCATACTCCCCAAACGTTTACTGTAAAAAAAAATTTATTGAATCTTCATTAGTTTTTGGTATTAGTGTGTACACCTAATTTCAAACTCTTCTTGTGGCTTGGAATCAATACATAATACAAGACAATAGCCACTGTAGGGGCCTCAAGCACAAAAGAGTTGAGTCTCCTGTGGGCTAAGATAGTTGGGTTTTCTGTGAGTTGTTGAGTTTAACGGGCTGGTGGACTGTGATATACAGGAGATCAAATATCATGATCTGGTAGGCCCTTCCAGCATTCCCAGTAAGCTGTGCTCTAGTGCTCAGGAGAGATTCAAATGCAGCCCAGCTGATTAGCAGAGCCCTCATACCTAGGTTTTGTGTTTCTATTGGTGGTGCACATTGGCACATGCCCTTGTGTACATAGAAACATTTATTCTGCACATGGATGGAAAAGATTAGAGTTATCATTGGACCCTTCTGACCTTACACGTTAGAGCTCCCTGGATATGTCTACACAGAAAAACAAAATGACAACCACCACCACCCGCAGCAATGAGTCACATAGCCTCAGTGAACATAAGAACGGCCATGCTGGGTCAGAACAAGGTGTATCTAGCCCAGTATCCTGTTTGCTCCCAGTGGCCAATACCAGATGCCCCAGAGGAAGGAAACAACAGGTAATCCTCACGTGATCCCTCTCCTGTCATCCAATTCCAGACAAACAGAGGCTAGGGACACCATTCCTACCCATTCTGGCTAATAGCCATTGATGGAACTAACTTCCATGAATCTATCTAGCTCTTTTTTGAACCCAGTTAAAGTCCTGGTCTTCATCACATCCTCTGGCAAGGAGTTCCACAGGTTGACTGTGTGCTGAATGAAGAAAAACTTCCTTTTGTTTGTTTTAAACCTGCTGCCTATTGATTTTATTTGGTGACTCCTAGTTCTTATATTGTGGGAATAAGTAAATAACTTTTCCTTGTTCACTTTTTCCACACCAGTTATGATTTTATAGACCTCTATCATTTTCCCCCTAGTCTTTTCTCTTTTCTAAGCTGAAAAGTCCAAGTCCTTTTAATCTCTCTTCATATGGGACCCGTTCCAAACTCCTAATCAGTTTTGTTGCCCTTTTCTGAACCTTTTCCAATGCCAATGTATCTTTTTTGAGATGAGGCGACCACATCTGTACGCAGTATTCAAGATGTGGGCATGCCATGGTTTTATACAGAGGCAATAAGATATTCTCTGTCTTATTCTCTGTCCCTTTTTAAATGATTCCTAACATTCTATTTGCTTTTTTGTCTGCTGCTGCACACTGAGTGGATGTTTTCAGAGAACTATCCACAATGACTCCAAGATCTCTCTCTTGAGTAGTTGTAGCTAAATTAGTCCCCATCATATGGTATATATCAGTGTTTCTGAACCAGTAGCACGACTACCCTTAGGGGTACTTGAGAGAAGAATGGGGGGTTTGTCAACACAACTGAAATTTGGAGAAAACTGAATTTTTGTTTTAAGTTTTATAGCGCTTTATTACTTTTGTACTTTTTACAGCCAAAAATTTCAGCGCCCGCCCGGCCACGATGAAGTTGTTTAAACAAACGTGTTGCAATGGTAGAAAAATATTGTGTGTGTCTGAAAACTGTGCGTACTGGGGGTACTTATAATTTTTTTAAAGGGGTACTTGATTAAAAAAGGTTGAGAAACACTGATATATATAGTTAGGATTGTTTTTTCCAATATGCATTACTTTACATTTATCATCATTTAATTTCATTTGCCATTTTATTGCCCATTCACTTAGTTTTCTGAGATCTTTTTGAAGCTCTTCAGTCTGCTTTGGTTTTAACTATCTTGAGAAGTTTGGTATCATCTGCAAATTTAGCCATCTCACTGTTTCCCCCTTTCTCTATATCATTTATAAATAAGTTGAATAGGACTGGTCCCAGGACAGACCCTTGGGGGATTGGAGCAACCACTCTCCCACCATGGGGGCAATCCAGCCCGCCCACTGTGGTTTAAGCAGTTAACCGGTTAAACAAAACATTTAGTTAACTGACTAAACAGGATTTTCCATCCCTAATATAATCCAGTCACTTGTTTCTTATAAAAGACATTTGCCAAGTGCAACATCTACATGCAAATCCTTCTTTCAACCCTTCACACACACACACACACACACACACACACACACACACACACACACACACACAACACCACACACACACATTTAGCTTCCCACTGAACTCCCTGGAGTTTATGTAGGTACTTTAAGAGCTTTCTGAATCAGGACATAAGGTCATCAAGCCACAGAGAGAAAGCCAATACCTGCCTCTTGTCCACTCTTAAGACATGCAACCTTGCTTTGAATATTAGCTATTGACTATGGACAGCATGGGGAGGGTCCTCAATTATATGAAAGAGAGGAAGCAAAGTATAAATGAAAGAATGAAGAAAATTCAAATGCCAAACACTGGATAGTCTCTGAATATGGTATATTCATGTGTAGTTTGTGCCTTTGTATGTCTGTGTTGATCTCTTGTGAATTGAAAGGCAATTGACTTTAAAAAAAAATCGTTATAAGTCAGCGCCACTTGTAATACTCAGAAAAAGAAAATAATTTGCAATAGTCACTTCACCCTGGATGACGGAGGGGAGGAGATCATGTTGTACACGGTGTTAAAGAACAACCCTTTCTGAAATGACAAGCAGATAAGCCATTCAAAGCTGAACTCTATTTTTTCTTAGTTTGGCATTCCTTTTGGTTTTATATACTTAGCTATAAATGAAAAAAAGGTTCTATTTTTTAAGAAATGATAAGGGCTGTTTATGAGCCACTAATTTGGGCTCCTCTCTCCCTCTCAGTTTTAGGGGATTGGTATTTGTGGACAAGAAAAGGCTACACACTGAGGATTTTCAGAGATTCTTGTATGCGTGTGTGATGGGGCTGGCCTGCTCCGCACTGAACACTGGGGCCGAGAGCCTGTCTATTGGGTAGAATATGCCCCTCCCCCACAGCCCTGCTGGGCATGCTCGCAGTGCAGCCCAAGTATAAAAGGCTGCCGGGCTGCTCAGTTGGGGCTGACCTCCAGGGAGGAAGGAGCTCCGGCCCAACCCCCAGAGCCACAGCCGGACCTGTGGCTGAAACCAGAGCCGTTGGGACCGCCGCCGTTGCTGCTACCGTTCCCGGGTCAAGCACGCCCACAACGCCGACTCCGGGGGGTCGCCCACCCACCCCGTCGCGGTGGACAACCCCTTTGCTGCTGCCCCAGACAAGGGACCTGCCAACATTGCAGCCGCTGCCACCCAGCTTCACCAGGTGGGGTCTCTGTTGGCCACAGGGCTGGGGTAGGAAGCAACCCAGGGCAAGGGGCAGGGAACCCCTCAGTGGGCTTGGTGTGTTTCGGGGAGAACTCCCCGCTGAACCAGTGGTGGGAACCACCCACCACTAATAGGGCCCTGAGTTGGGGTCCGGTGGAGAGGGAGGGCCCGGACCCCATCCCCTCAGGGCATAGACTAGGCCTCAGGGCCTGCGATTGTGCTGGACTAGGCCTCAGGGCCTGCTTTAACCTTGGGGAGAAGAGGGCGGGGCTGGGACCCCGCCACAGGGTGCCATCGATGTTTTTACTTCCCTATCACTTAGACCTTCACATCTAATACTGCTAGTGGCTTGTAAACTGAGCTGAAAAAATAGGGAGGAAAATGTTAATTTTGAAATAATTTCCATTTTTCAGGGTTCAGACGTGGAACCATTTTTCTTCAGTTTTTCTTTAAAAAAAATATATATATATTCCCCCCCCCAATCAGTTTTTTGAAACTTCCATTTTCAAATCCTCTAAAATCTGTCCCCCCCCCCCTTTTTTTTTTCATTGTCATAAAATTTCAAAGAGTTCACCCCTCACCCAGGACATTTTCATTTTGCTACTCTGAAACTTTTCTGAATTGCCTCAACTTTGTGCAAATCAAAGAGGCTGACAAAGGAGGTGCTGTAGTCAGAGGCGAGTGGTGAGGGGGAACCCAGAGGGCCACTAGTCATGTGACCCCCCCCCTCCCTCAGCCTGGGGAAGAGCTGGGACAACCCCCCTTTGCCAGTGCTCCCTCTTTCCCATCCATGTGTGGAATAAAGATTGTTCTGTGCACCAAGGCATGTGCAGATGTGCACCACCAGTAGAAACACATGCTGCTGGCTGTAGGCAGCTGTGAGCACTGTGCTAATGAGCTGGGTGGCTCCTGAATCTCTCCCAGGTGGCCGCCCAAGCTCCCAGCTTGCAGGGATCACTGCCCTGCATTCCAGGCCCTGTATCGCCCCACCCTGCCTCTTTCCCACCTTTTCCCCACCCCCAGCCCACCTCTTCCCCTCACCGAGGCAGCCCGGGGGACTAGCAGGGCGAGGAAGCTGTCCTCCCTCCACACTCACCAGCAGTGGCAGGGAAAAGAAGCAGAGCAAGGTGGCCCTTTTGCTTTGTTCCCCCAGCCACCGCATTGCTCCGCTCCCGCTGGGCAGGGCAGGGGTGGTCCCGCCCCCTCCTCTGGAGAGGCGTGGCCAAGAGAATAGAGCAGTGGGGCCACCAAGCTCCACTTCTTCCCCCTGCTGCTGACAGTAAGTGTGGGGGGCTGGCTCCTGCAGCGAGCACCAGCCCCTCGCCCCACTAGTCCACAGGCCTGCTGCTGGTCGGCCCCTTCTGGCCATGGCATTGCAGGGCACACGTGACCCCTCGTGCTCTCTCCACACATGTTGCCCCTGGCTGTACTCATCATGAATAGGTCAGATTAGAAACTGGAGGCTGCTACACATTCTCCAACACCCCTATCCCCAGATCCCAGGGTATGTCTTCACTACGGCGCTTTTCAAATTAACTTAATTCCAAATAGTTAATTCGAATTAAGCTAATTCGAAATAATGCATCTACACACAGAACCTATTTCGAAATAGCACATCCACAGTGGGTGGACCCAGAACCGAAGTTAAGGCTGGCCAGAACCAGTGCCGGCAGGGCATCAGTGGTTCTGTGTGGGGCTGCTGCCTGAAGCTAACTGAGCTCTGCGCTTAAAGGGACCCTACTCCCACCCCGGACAGACAGTTCTCAGGGTTCCCCGCTTGCTTGTCTACCTCAATGAGGGACAGCAAAGCAGTCCTGTCTTGGAGTGCCCTGAGTGCCTGAACTCGGGACACCACAGCACTCAGCCACGTGGAGCCAGAGCTGCCCTGGGCATGCTGGTGCATGTCATGGGGTCGTTGCCATCAGCCCGGCTGCACTTGCTGCAGGCTGCCATCTGGGGGGTCTTCCGGGGGCTGTCAGGATCCAGGAGGCCCTGAGGGAGAGCGTCCACCCTGAGGAGCCCTCAGAGCCTCCCTGGTCCTCCTCACCGGGGGCTCGTGCCCCATTCCTCCCTCACGTCCTTGCACTTACCCCTCCCTAGCCCCCCTTCCTTATGTCAAACAAAAGACATGTCGGTTCAAAAATAGAAACTGGGTTTATTGAACAAAACTGGGAGGGGGGATGAACCTCTGGGGAGACTGGGAAAAGGAGGTGGGAGAGGGGAAGAGAGAGAGGGGAGGGGGAAACCTAGGAGGAGGGAGCTGGAAGGGGGAAGCAAGGGGAATAAGGAGGAGGGGAAGCTCAGGACTCAGGGTTGGGGGTCTCGCTGGACCAACTTGGCTTTCATGCTAACCATGTTTTGGGGCCACTGGGTCAGGGGCCCCGGTGGCCACTGCTGGCTCTGGGCTGGCAGGCTTGGAGCTAGCACAGGCACTGTCGCCAGGGTCTACTCCTTTAATGGCTTTGGGGCTGGGGGACAGGAGAGTAAGTTTTCCTGGTTGTGCCCAGAGTGGCCACCAGGGCTCCCTGAGAAGTGCTGGAGGCCCCCTATTTCGAATTAAGTGTCTACACAGCACTTAATTCGAAATAACTATTTCAAATTAGGTGTTACTCCACGTAGAATGAGGTTTACCAAATTCGAATGAAGGGCTCCGCTATTTCGAATTAAATTTGAAATAGCGGTTTGCATGTATAGACGCTATTAAAATTAATTCGAAATAAGGGCTGTTATTTGGAATTAACTTTGCAGTGTAGACATAACCCCAGTGAGGAGCACCGAAAGAACCTGCACCATCTACTGAAGAAACTGCCTCAAGAAGCGCAGGGACAAATCTTCCCAGACACAGCCACAGACGCCAGACCGGGGATATTCAATCTGCTACCCGAGAGCCATAAACCTGGAAATCCTGGACGTCCCATCATCTCAGGCCTTCACGTTCTTACAGCAGGATTGTCCGGCTATATAGACTCTCTCCTGAGGCCCTACGCTACCGGCAATCGTGGAGACACCACCGACTTCCTGAGGAAGCTACAATCCATTGGTGGTCTTGCAGAAATCACCAGCCTAGCCACTGTTGATGCAGAAGCTCTCTACCCCAACACTGCACACTACAAGCTGTCAGGAACCGTATCCCCGCTGACATCACGGCACAGCTGGTTGCTGAACTCTGGGCCTTTGCTCTCACTCTCAACCATTTCCGATGTCATACCTTCAAGTCGGCGGCACTGCTCTGGGTACCCGCATGGTCCCACAGTAGGCCAACATTTTGATAGCTGACTTAAAACAACGCTTTCTCAGCTCTTATCCCCAGGTGCCCTTCTCTGATGACGCCTTCATCATCTGGACCCCCGAGAAGGAAGCCTTTGAAGAATTCCATCAGGATTTCAGCCATTTCCACCCCACACAAGAGATCCACTTCCTGGACACTACAGTGCAAATAATTGATGGTCACGTAAAGCCCACCCTATACTGGAAACCTGCTGACCACTATACTTACCTACATGCCCCCAGCTTTCATCCAGAACACATTGCACAATCCTTTGTCTACAGCCAAGCCCTAAAATACAACTACATTTGCTCCAGTCCCTTGGACAGAGAAACACCTAGCAGTGGCTCCCAACCTGTGGTTCGCGGACCCCTGGGGGCCCACGACGGTACTGTACGTTTAGGAAAAGAAAAGTAAGGATTGGACCCACCGCAGGACTGGGACTTTCCGCCAGGCGATTCTCGCCTGGGGCTCGCCGTTTGCAACTGGCCGCGCGCACACTGCCTCCTGCCCTTGGGATGGGATCTTGATACCCCAGGAGGCACTGTCCGTCCCCTCGTCACCAGCTATGCTGCCCTTTATGCTCCAGCCCTCTCCCCCTTCCCAGTCCTGTGGTGGGCCTTTTGCCTTTTTTTCTTCTCCCCAAGGGCTCTGAGCCCGGCCAAGGCCTCCTGCCCTTGGGAGGAGCTGCCTTTGGCCACAAGAGCTCCCTCGCCATATCCTCCATGGATGGGTAGGGGACGGAGGGGGCAGCAACTGAGGAAGTAACGCCAAGGGACGTGCTGGCCGCTGCATCCTGTTACTCCCCTTGCGGGGGGTCTCTAAAATTTTCAAGGGGTCCATATGCTCGAAAAGGTTGGGAACCGCTGGCCTACAGGATCTCTATCAAGCATTCTTAAAACTACAATACCCACATGAGGAAGAGAAAAAACAGACTGACAGAGTCAGATGGGTACTCAGAAGTCACCTACTGCAGCAGGGCGGGGCAAGATACACCCGTGGGCCAGATTCGACCTGCCTAATGCTTTGATCCAGCCGCAGATGGCTTGTGGCTGCTTATTACTTGCATCCTGCTGTTGGTGTTACGGAATGGCCAGGAAGTGGCTCAGGCAGCAGGACCCTATTTAAAGGGCTCGCAGGCCCCAGTCACAGCACTACGCTGGCAGTATTTGGAACCGCAAGCATTTTAAATAGCCACAACAATCCTGGGCAGCTGCCAAGCAATGCAGTAGGGGTGGGGATGGGAGCCATGAACCTTTTGCTGCCTTTTTAATACAAAGCATTCCATCCAGGCAACACTCAGGGGAGGGTAGCTCCCGGCTCTCCCCTTCCACCTGAGTCCCTACCCCTTCCAAGGGGCCCTGGAGTTGGCCCTTGACCACGTACCACCATTTGGGAAGTGGCCCTCTGCAAAAATTATTGCCCACCCCTCTACTACAGGCCAGACCCAACAAGAAAGCAATGGACAAGGCTTCCTCACTCCAGAGGCAGGGGGTAGCAAGATGCCTCACAGCTCTGGGTACCCCTGGGCGGCATCTCATCAGCTGTCCCAAACTAAGACAATTCCCTCCGTGTTTCAGCTAAAATCAAGGGGAAACGCCTGGCCGTTTTCTACACTTTATCCTTGCAACTTCTTGCTAGTTCCAGGACAATTCCAGTCCTCTGTGCCATCCACGGCCTGTTGCATCCAACCGCTAGTCCACTGGACACTCTCAATATTCCCAAATTCACTGCTTCCAAAGAAGCAGCACACTCTAGCTCAGGGGTGGCCAACCCATTCCAAGCAAACGGCCAAGATATCAGTGGATCGAGCACGAAAAGTTGTCGAGCAAAAAAAAAAAAAGGACTGGCCCTTTAAGAAAACTCCATCTGCAACAGTGGGCAGAGGAAGCTGAAACCGGGAGGAGAAGGCCGCACGCGGTGGGGAGGGGTTACAAGCCACAGGGGGGCTTTGTGAGCCATACCCGGGGGGGATGGGGAAAGCTGCATGCGGCTTGTGAGCCACGGGTTGGCCACGGCTGCTCTAGCTCATCAGTTCCACCTCCGCTCCCTGCCACGCTTAACATACACCACTTAGATATGATTGTGGTGAATTCACGTAGAAGGCTATTTAACAAAGTGCAGAGATTCAAACAGGTTGAATCTCTGTGGTCTGGGACTCTCTGATCCAGCAGGACCACAGATGTTGCTGAAGCAGAGAGCCCCAGAAGCAGAGGCTGCCAGCGGCTGGGAGCAGAGCCAGTGGGTGGGGCCGGTGGGGCAGCGGAGTTCAGAGCTGGCTGAGCAGCAAAGCTGGTGGGGCCACAGGAGCCCACGAGGACACCAAGCGCACAGCCACCGGGCCTGGTGGGGCAGCAAAGCCAGTGGGACCACTGGAGCCTGTGGGGAGTCCAGAGCCCAGCAGGACAATGGAGCTGGCAGGGCTGCCAGAGCCGGCAGGGCCAGGGACAGCAGAGCCCAGTGGCCATGGAGAGAAGCCCCCATGCCTCCCCTGCTCAGGCAAACTCCCTTATTTGGGACCTGAGGGTGCTGGACCAGGGAGGTCCAACCTGTACGAGCAAGTAGAAGAGTCGAAAATAAATGGTTACACAGAAAACACGATCACACTGCGTTCCATAGTGTTACCTACCAGATCTGTGTTCTTGGAGAGCCAAGAGAGAGGATTCATAGCAGGCTTCCTCCCCCACCCATGGGCCTCTGCTTGAACCAAAGCCAAAGCAATGAAAACGCAGAGGAAGACGCATCTAAACCTCCCCAGACAAGGGTGACAGGATTAAGGAAACACCCATCTGCCTTGAAGACAGAACAGACATCCATCCCCATTAGCATACAGAATGGAAAACAGCACTTCAAGGCAAGAACCGCACTGAACCATGGGATCCAGAAAGCCAGGAAGCACTGCCTGATAGGAAATCTCTGCTCAAGATGCTAACGAATCCATGCTTGCCCAGTAATTACCAATAATCAGTAATTACCAGAGCAATCTTAGTAATAGATCTTCTATTGGTATCCAAAATACTGAAATGGCCAAACTGCATTATGAGCTCCCTCCAAGAAACACCGCCCATAGCCAGGAATGATTCATTTCTATTGTCTAGCCTGAACAAAACAACTTTAGGATACTCCCTTAAACCGTGTGTTTGCCCATAAACAAATCCAGGGTCTCCCTGGAACCAGTGTTGTTTCCCAACAAAAACTCCTACCCACGCTCAAGGAAATGCTCTGATGCCTGGATCTAAAGTCTGCGTCAGTTCCACTGGGACTCTGCTCCCGACTGATCGCGATGGGGAATTTGCTCTGCCCGCCTCCAACTCTCTGGGCCCCCAGCTTCCATTTGGGAGCCCGGATCAGTTCAAGCTTTACAGAGTGGTGAGATCTCTCTCTTCTCCCCCCCACTCCGCTCCTCCCCCAAGTACAGCCTCCTGACCCTGCCTTACGTGACCAGTTATGGCTTGCCAGCCTTCACATTTGTAATCCGATTGAAGTTAGATTTAATATTGCAACTGGTTTGGTTTTTTTGGCTTTGTATGGTGACTACCTAGAAATAAATAACTTTCATGGTTAAGCTATTTGCTTTTCTCTCTTGTTCTAAGAATCTGTATTAGCCTTTCTCCTTGCAATTCCCCGCTGCAGATCCATGCAGATCCACTGAAAGCAACATCGGGAGCAGTCCTTGTCCATCATGTTGTCTAGACCTGTTCATGTTCACTTGTTCGGTAATTTCTGTTCTACAAGAATTGCTTTCTCCTAAAGGGCACTGCAAATGAGACTCAGGCCTTATCTGCATTGGCTCATTTTGTCACCAAAAACTGCCTTTTGGCAACAAAATAGTGGGAGCGTACACACTACAATTTGACTTTTGTTGGGAAAAACACCCAGTTTGGGCAACAAAAAACTTCCACCTCTGCAAGAAACTTTTGTCTTCACCCTTCCTTTTATTGTCGACAAAGATCCAGCGTGGACTCTGCTGTTTGTTTTGTCAAAAGAACTGACTTCCGCCAGTATCCCACAGTGCCTAACCTGATGGCTCTGCTCAGTGTTTTGTGATCTCTGCTGCCCTGCAGGCTTGCACTCCTCCCCTTTCCAAGATCCAGGAAGTGTCTGACAGCTGAGTGAGCTGCTCCATTTGGGGAACAAAGAAACTATTGGAGTGCTCCTGTTCTGCCCTGCTAGGAATACAGTGATGGGCAGACTGCTGCTGCAGGGGGAGAGCTGGAGAGACGGCTGTGTTGCTTTGACACTCCTCAGCACAGAGAGCTCATAGATCTAGAAAGGAATCCCAAGAAGCATGGGGATCAGCTCTGCCTTCTCACAACACTGCACTGTGGGATGCTTACCCACATTGCTTTGCTCTAGCTGTCAACAAGGTGCCATGAAATGTTGACAATGGGAGGCAGAAAAACTGGTTTGACCGGTTTTCACTTTTGGCAACTTTTGCATGTTGACAGCACTTTTGTCACCAAACCTTCCCCATGTAGACAAAGCTTGCGTTACAGCAGCAAGTAGAGTTGATTTCAAACAGCTTATATAAAAATAGCTGCACTAATTACACCATAGTAATTACCTGAAAATTATACGTATGTTGTTTTTCCACCAGTAAATACTACTGTTTTTGAACTTTGCTTTGTTCTTAGGGATTGTTGGAGTCATGCTGTCTCCAAATGTTCCTCCAATCTCATCATTAACATGCATCATCCCCAATACAACCCTTTCCTGAAACAGTTAAATTGCAGATTGTGATGCTGTTTGTTCAGAATGCTTTGTGCTTGATTTCACACCACTCCTCAACATAGCCTCAGCACCTCGTTTTTGGAAAATATTTATATGAATTAAATATTTGTAACAAACATTGGAGTATGAAGTATACAAGAGGATAACTTTGCTAATAGATTCTATTATTGTTATTACTAATGGTACTCCTGTCTGCCAGAGGATGCATTTGTATAGCCTTCAGTGATGTTCGTCTGTTAATTACCCCTTCTCTGACAGCATTTTTGGGATAATAGAGAAGTTTTACCACCCTACTGTCATTGCAATGAGAAAAGAATTCTCAACAAAATTGTTAGACCACATGGAATGTCTATCTTGAACAAACTTCTGGGTATGACCACGATCCTACTTCAATAAAATTAATGCCTCCATCAAGAGCAGGAATAATTGTGATTTAGAAGAGGTGTGGGGTTGTTTTTCTCTCAGTAAGTGCATGTTATTGATGTTGTGGTAGTTTTTCAGGAGCAACCAGTAAAAGCAAGCACTGTAAACACAGTCATCAACTTGTTCCCAAGAAGGGAATGTTGACCAGTGGCAAGAACAGGAAAGTGGGGGTCAAATCTCTGAATCTTTCCTAATTCTCCCACAGACATGCTGTCCAACTCCGAACAAGGCATG